ATTTTGAATCTATCTGAAAACAAAATGATATGCATCAAGGTCCTATAATGTCCAACGCATACACAAAGTTTGAACAAAATCTATCTGTAGACAGCCGAGAAATATTTGATTTTGATGATTTTTAGAACAAAAATGGCCGCCATTCGGCCATCTTGAATCAGATCAAATTGATGTGCATATGTATAATATCATGTATGATGCATGTGTGAAGTTTGATTGTGATTAATCCAGGCATTTCTAAAATACACACGCACGGACGGAAGCAGAGGTCAAAACATAAATCCTCGTCTTCGGACTGCGTCCGAACAGGGACTAATTAAAGAGGGATAAATTAGAAATGAATTAGCCTTTCAAACAAGAGGGCTTGGCAACTAATATTTGTCTGCTATTTTATTATCCACATTATTGAAGTTTATAACACATATGTTTCTACTGTGGTTTTCAGGGTAATTATTCCAGAGCACCTCTACAACAAGTTCAATTTCAAATTTATTTTTTTGAGATATCAGAAATTTCCTAATAATAATTAGATAATCAATCAAGCATATTTGTCATTAATAAACTAATCATGTCTGTGGACTACCCCAGAGCATCAACGAACCAAATTTCAATGAAATGTGATGATTATGCACATTCAGCAACTAGTATGAGATATTAGTGGAAAAGCCAAAAAGTTACTAACTATGGAAATTAGGTAATTAATATGCATGTAGTTTTACCCCAAACCAATCACCTCTGCACATTGTTCCAGAGCATCTATGTACCATGTTTCATTACAATTCAATGAGTAGTTCTTGAGATATCAGTAGAAAAGTCATGGAACAGCTACAAATTAGATAATTATCATGCAAATTAGGTATATAATATGCATGGTTTAAATCAAAACCTAATCAAATCTGCGCATTAGCCCAGAGCATCTATGCATCAAAATTAATCAAAAACCACCATATGGTTCTTGAGATATCAGTGGAACAGATAGACATATACACACACTTACATACAGAAGCAGACTGCAGACTGCTTCACATACAGGAGTCAAAAAGTGACATACAATTTAATTAGTTTTCATAGTGTTAATAGTGTTCTATTATATAAAATGAAAGCTGCTATCCCATAATGCATTGCACATAACTTGCAATAACATGCAGTAACATGGTCAGTAGTTCAAAATTTCAGAGTTTGCCTTGAATTGCCTGAAGCCAATGACGAGTCATTGACGCACAAATATTAGCTGTGATACAACTCATTGAGCTAATTCACTGATGCAACAGACACATGTACATTAATATAGTGATATTGAACTATAGTTTGAATTTTCAATTTGGTAAAATGAAAATCACATTTAATAAACAAGTGTAATCAAAGAAAGCTTAGAAATAATGAAGTAAAAATATAACTTTTGAAATTAATTTAAAATTTAAGAAGCTTGGAGTCTAATATAAGTCTGCTATTTGTGATGCACAATGCAACAACAATCTAATCCACAGTATTGAATACAATTTGTATTAAAAGAAAATAATACATTTCATTGTACACACTAGTTCACAGTCTGATTTATTCCCACAGACCTATGCAACAAGTTTAATTTAAATCTGATTTTTTGAGATATCAGAATTTATGAAAATTAGGTAACGAATATGGTTTCCAATCCTAAATAAATCACTTTTGTGGATTACCCCAGAACATCTATGTACCAAGATTTATTGAAATCTCTTTTGTATGTGAGATCTGTTGAACAACTATACATTGGCTCATATATTTAAATTGATATTTCATAAGCATGCTATCTTATAAATTTTATGGATTACACCCAGAGCACCTATGTATCAAGTTTCATTGAAATCTAATGAGTTGTTATAGAGATATCCAGTCTTGTGAAGGTATCTCAGGACACTTATGTACCAGGTTTCATTAAAATATGATGGGTTTTTGAGAAATCAATGAGAAAGCTGAAAATTGGCTAATTAAGCAAATTAGTATGCACAAATTAGTATGCACAAATCTCAATTCAAAATTAATTAGGTCTTTCGCATTTGTGCCTACAAATTACCTTTTGTGTGCTTCATAAACGAGAGTCAAAAACATCAGGGGCCACAACATTTTTGTTTGTGCCTCCCAACAGTCTACAAGCTGATTACATTTTTGGGGGATTTACTTTTCAGCTTGTTAGAGGTCACATTGATTGCAATGCATTTATTGACAAGTTGTCAATTTGAGTCATTTGAATACATTTTTATGGCCGATAAACTAAATTGACTATCGCAGTGGATCTATTGTCAAGGTTTCGGAGACCTCATTTCTTCTTAGTTTTCCTAACTTTTCCAAACGTAAAGTGTTTCGCATGATACGACTCTTTTCGTATGCCAATCAAGTATTCTGCATTAATGACTTGACAATGCAAGTCCTCTTTTTCAGTTTGTAGCAAGTCAGAACACAAATCCATCAACCAGGTGTAGGAGTGATGAAATTCTTCACGTCGATTCTCAAACCATCCTCCTTGAAAATCATGGATACGTTTGAAATCTGGATACACCACATAATTCCTATGCGCAGATGTGAATATTTGGGCACTGCTTATAGCACTTTCATCAAATTCATCTTCCTCATCTTCATCATCACTGTTACCATGGTTACAATTCATTGTAATAAACTCCTGTGCATTTGTGATGTACTCCAAGGTGTGCAAAGAAAAATCTGTTTGAAGCTCCTCAACTTGATCACTCTTAATTTCATTGCTGTCTTCTGACAATGGATTTTTTTCACTGACTTCATCTTCTCTGACTTCCTCTTCTGTAGGTTGAAAACCACTGAATGAGGTGGCATCATCCTGCAGAATGTCACTGTATTTACCGATGTCAATAGTTCGCAGGGAACTGAAAGGCTTCTGCAGCTCTCGTCGATTGACTTCTTGATATATGCGTCCTGTAACAATAGAATATAGCAATCAAATTATATATTCAACATGTATTCTATTTATTCACAAATTATTTCTAGTTTTCACTCAATTATTAGATACATTCACACAACATATCTAGATCCATGGCAGGAATAGTGCATTGTCAATTCACAGTATGAATCAATGGCTTTCAGATTTAAAGTGTTTTGAAGTTCATATTTATAAAAAAAATAAAAGTAACATTCCCACTTCTAAACAGATTTTATAATTTTTCAACAATTCGTTGGAGGTGTTTTGCATATAGTACAAAGTGGCAACGTAACTTGGATTACAGATTATGATGGATTAAATTCAAAACAAAAAAATAGACCAATGGCCTGTTGCTCAACGACTATTGTACAAAAGATTAGTGCTGTATATGCCACAACTTTTCGTTTAAATTTGTACTTTTAAATAAAATATTGCCAAACAACCACACAAAGTTGTCAATAGAATAATAAACACATGTATGCCTAACACCAAAGCATTGGAAATAGTGGTTAGTTGAAATTCCATTTTTAACTAAAAATGACAAAAATATTTGTCAAAATTAGAGAATTAAAGATATGGCTATGGGATAAACAAATCTAGTAGATGTCAACACAAGGTACATACACACCAAGTATCAAACCATTCAGGCTACCGGTTTTGAAGAAGAAGTCGAAAATAGAATTTTTGACCAAAAATGACCATTTTAAAATATTCGCCAAAATTAGGAAATTTTAAATTTCCTTATCAAATTAACAAAACTGATAGAGGACAACCCAAGGCACATGCACTATCAATATCAGCACTGTAGACCACTTAGTATCAGAGTAGCATAGAAGAAATTTTAGAGTTTTGGTGAGCTAATTTGCATAATTTTTGGCAGATCGACATCTCATGAACAAATTACCATTACCGTTAGTAAAACATAACCTCGTAGGATTTCATACACAATTAATGTTTTTGAAAACTTGCTTTGGTGTGACTAGTTTTTTTTCGTTGTGATTCGATTCAAGTATATGATAATATATTTTTATTCATTGATTTTCACATAAATTATGTTAATTAATAGTCGTACCTAAACTAGTATGCAGTTGACTAGTTATGAGTTGCATAAACTACCGAGAAAAGTGTGATATATTGCACAACCAGATGCTCAAGTAAACACTCAATGTTGCAACAACAAGACATGTTGCATAGAACAGCCTTCTATTCCCTTCAATGTTTGTTGCAGTTGCTTCTCCCTGTATTCTCTCACAATGGAACAAATCTCTCAGCCTGCCAGACATTATGATAATTTTGGACAAGCGATTCTTTCAAAAATTATTCCTTCAATTTCAATATTGAATAATTAGACTTCAGGGGAAATTTCAGAATAAAACTGCCAAAACAAATTTGATATTGTGGCAGTTGACTGCTCTGACAATACTCACGTTCTTCATTATCTGTGTAACAGGTCTTCCATTTGCTCACACCATTCTGGTAATTATTCATGTACACCGACAAATGATGCAACTTGCTCAAATCACTGTCAACAAAACAAATGACAATTACTTCTTCAATCAACTGAATCAAGGTAGTTAACAAATATGTCGCATATAATTTAATGTCAAAGGCAAAGAAAATATAATTATATAGAGCAAAACCAGATTAAACATCAAAGACAACACAATATAGATGTTTTTGGTTTTATTGATAGGTAACTCTAGAAAGTAGAATGAACATGAACAGGCAGCTGCAAACGTCTAAGCAAATGGAAGTGTTCTGTTATAAGCAATGTCTGTCTGAGTGTGTGGTTTTCTGCAATACCACCTGTGTGCCATTGTTGCTTGATTTTTGGCTGTTCACATTTGTGAAATATTGAGTGTTTGATACACAACATCTAAGAAAATACTGCAGTTTAATGCCATGTTTTTTCTAGTTTCTATGGTTTAAAAAGATAGGACAGAAATAAAGGGATACTGTATATTGCATGAACATCAGAGAGAATATTTTTTTAGCAGTGAACCTTTTGATTTGGGTCTTTATAAAGATCACATCTTAAACATGAATATCACTAAAAATTTAATAGATAAATTACACAGGGTTCAGCTTTGGAATTATCAAAATAGCTTCCAACAAGTTTGCAAACTGCAGCTGTATTTACAACTCAACTGTATTGTGAATCAACCATTATAAAAAAGATGTATACTGGTAGTCATTTCTAACAAAATATGGAATTTGTTTTTGTGCCAGTGAACTCATGCTACCTTATAGTCTTTGGAACTTCAGGTAAAAAATGGTTCTCTTGTCTTGATTTCATTGCTTTCGTCCAACTGTCCCAAGTAAATAGTTTTGGACCTAAAACGGTAATTAGAATGTTTATAATGTATCTGTGTAGAGACTGACACAACATGGTGCAATGGATTCTATTGTTATAATATGTAAGATATTATATGGAATTTACTTGTGGTGAAAGGTTAGAGTGGAGTAAATGGAACACTGCACAGATTCTAGGCATTAGTGGAGTGACTGACTGCATATATTCTAGGCATTGGTGGAGTAA